CTCGCTGTAATCTAATATTTTTCTGCAGGACTTGGTCTCTTGAGCCGAAGTCTAGTTCTGCAGAATTGATTCAATGGGAAGTTAGCTGAAACTTCCCACCAACATAATAATTTACAAGTTGACAACTATAATGCAAAGTCGAAGAATTAAATCTTATTAGAGCGGGCTAAACCTAGTAACTATATCTTGAAAGGCAGAAACATGCTCTGTCAAAAAATCCAAAAACCTTCCCTTAAATGCTCTTAAACCTGATTTGCATTTTGGTAGAAAAACGAAAGAGAGACATGGCACTAGAGATATAAATCATGATAACTGATTAGATTAACATAATGGAAAGTTACAAACACTAGTTTTAAAACTATCTACAATCAGTGTTTAATTTTACTTAAAGTTATACTAAAAGCCAGTCGGCAGTACATAATATATTAATGGTGATGCATCAATGAAACCACATTACATATACTGTCAAATTTTGCATGTCTTAATATCTGAAGAAAATAACTGCATTTTTAACATTATATAGGATTTTATATAGGATTAGATTATGATGAAATTTGTTTTGTTATTTTTAATTTATGTATAGAATATTGTACATTAAAAAATTTAAGAGAAAAATTTACTTTCTTTCAGAATTATGAAATTAACAAAATTTACTTTTTATGGAACTAATTTTTTGGGCTAATCTTTGGTATATGGTAACAGGTAGTTTGGCGATGTTTTGGTAAGGTGATAAAGCTAGGACTTTAGCAGTGTACATGGATAAAGTCAAGAGTGTGTGCAATGCATGGAGGTAGGAAAGGGAGGAGGGGCCATTCCGTGCTAGAAGTGAAGCACTGCTTTAAAGCTTGGGTCACCAGACGGGGTGTTCTTTGTTTACATTCAGAAGCTCGCTTGACAAGATTCTGATAGTATTTCGACACACGACAGTTCCATAGAAATCGAAAAAGGGACACTCTCGCATGAAAGAAACATTCATAGTGTGATGGATAATAGCAATTTGTATAGTTTAGTGACATTTATGCAAAAATCACATCTTGGTTATTTTTCGATAACTAACAACAGCGATTTTGATTATGAATTTGTTTTATAAAATTCTAAGCTGTTGCATTACAAAAATATAGATTTTAAGAAAATTGCTAAAAGAGATCTGCCAAAATTTATTTTCTAGAAGATTTGAAAAGTTTGAAACTTATGGCTAAATGTAAATATAAAATTATGTATGTTAAAATATTTGTAATTAGGCACATAGGTCAGATTAAGTTTTTATTAAATAGAGTAACGCAGGCAAGGGCTATCTGCCTAAAGAGAGAGATGCCATCGTGGAGGAATTTTGAAGAAAAACTGATCTTTGAGTGGGTATTAAAAATAATACTTATAATTTTCATTCAAATTATATTCATATATATTTTTTATATAAAACTTTCGGGTGTATGCTAAATTAGTGTAAATTACTTTACACGAAAAATATAGTGAATGCACAGAGAAATTAAAGATTTGCACATGCCGGAAATGATAAATAGGAAATATGTATGGGTATTTATGCATGTGCTTGCAAAAAGCATGTATCTCCCTTTGACAAAATACTTAAATATTCATTAAATTATTTATAAATGTATTTGAAATGAAGAATTTATTCACTTATAAACAACTGCGAAAGTACTGTGAAGAAATCTGGTTGATCTTTACATTATGGTAACTTGGCATTTTTTTGGCGAAAATTTGGTGACCAACTATCCTACAGCAACCCTCTATTTTTTTTTTTTCCCGCCGCCATTTTGTCTTCACGAAGTAAAGACATGTTTCTTTTCTTTTATCTACTGAACACTTCTTCCAACAATCTACTAGCCGAATTACACTTATGCTAGAAATTTTATCTAACAAAACTGCTTAATCATGACAAATATTCACTGCAAAATTGAGAAAAAGTGCACAATACCATACTCCTTATGCGTTTTTCAAAATAACACATACACATAAACCATGTACACGCCGACTTATTTTTACTTAAAAAAACATCCCAGAATTGCACAAAAATGGCATTGCGCACACTCTTCACTATATCCATGTACACTGCTTTTTTCTCATAAATTAGAAAAATTTCACGAAAATACATGACAATTTTCTCAATCTTTAAACCCGGTAAAAAGAACATATATGAAATTACCTGATCGTGAAAAAGTATTTACCCTTTCCAAATATGAACATTTCCACATATAAAATAAATAAAATATCCAAAAACTTTTACCTCTAAATCATCTATTACATTATACACGTCACCAACGAATTCATACCGCAACCATTACAAATACTTAGTTTCAGATATTTAAATTATTTCCATGCACGTTTACTTCAACTAAAACGTACACCAAATTCCTACAAACATAAAATTTACAAAATAACTATCATTTAATTAAAATATAATTAAATTCAAAAACACTACTTAAAATATAAATGAGCACATACATTAAATTAATACATACATAAATACCCATTTCGAATTCACTTTAGTTACGGCCATGGGATCCAAAAATTCACGAACACTGTTTCACACAACACAGAATAAAGCCAAATACAAAATTTCCAGATTTTTTCCCGATTTTCCCCTTTTTCCGATTAAAGAACCGTAATTCGTCCATTAATATCACATGACATATCCCATGATCTCTCATTTCCCTCACACAAAATAATGCGTAATCGGAACTCAGTACTGCTCACATTATTACCTAAGTCCCAGGTAGTAACCTTTATCGCCTCCAAAATGTCGCCAAACTACCAGTTACCATATTGTAAAGATCAACCAGAAATCTAATGATTAAATTTATCTAATTTATAATAATTATAAATGTTATCTAAATATATAATAACCTTAATATTGAATTGTAAACATAAATTGAAATCCTGTTGACAAATACGTTATAAAACTATTTAAGCAAGAATTGTTCGTATTGGAAAACAATCTGTTAAAAGGTATTGTAAAGCAAATGCTATGAGATGCACACTTAAGAACGTAAAAAGAGTTTTGGAATATGTATTGTTGAAATGAAGGGTAAAAAAAAAAAAAAAAATCTGATAAGTATAATTAAAAGAATTATTCCCTTTACATTTTATAATAACTCAGTTACAAGTTTTAAATAATACTTAAAAAAAAAAAAAAAAAAAAAAAAAACTTATTTTATTCCCTTTCAGAAATGTTCAGAGAAAGTCAAATACTATTTAATACCTATTTAATTATTAGGAATTAGCAAAATACTTATTTAAAGTATTTCGCTAATTCCTAATAATTCTCTAATTTAAAATGAACCGAATAGAGCATTAATTATAAATTGACTTACCATTTTTCGATTTAAAAAGAAGCCAAAAAATCATGTCATATTTAAGAAAGTATTTTAGGAAGAAGCTCTATAAATAGAAAAGAAATAATGCATAATTTTAATATTAATAATACAATAAACTTTTATCTTAATTTTTGTACCTTAATGGAATAAAATCGAATTACCTTAATTTTTTTTTCTAATGTAATTAACGAAAACTTGTGAAAATATTTCATTCAAATTAAACCATTCTGAGAAAACTGTCCTGTGAAAAGTATAGCATTTAATTCCATTCAGAATGAAATGTTGTTTAAAAATATGTTGTTTTCACATACTTAGGACTCTGAAGTGTTGTAGAAAAAGAAAATATATACATTTATATGTATATTTGCGACGTAATTACAAAATATTTACACCCGAACGCGTCAAATCCCATAGAACTGAATGGTAAATGACCCAATGTTTTGGTCACCACTTAGGGATCGCCGGTGCTTCAGAGCAGGGTACGGAGAAACTTGTTTAGGGCGACTCCATCTTACTTCCTACCACCATGGTGCAATACCATTTTTGTGCAATTCTGTGGTGTTTTTTTAAGTGAAAATAGGTTGACGTGTACATGGATACCGTGTATGTGCAATTCTTAAAAACGCGGCAAGCAGTTTGCGATTCTGCACTTTCTCCCAATTTCGCACCTAATCTTTGTCATGATTAAGCACTTTTGTTCCATAAAAGTTCTAGCATAAGCTTAATTCGGCTAGTAGATTGTTAAAAAAAAAATGTTGAGTTAAAAAAAAAAAAAAAAAAACATGCCTTTACTTTGCGAAAACAAAATGGCATCCAAACAAAAACTAGCAGGTTGCTGTAGCGGTGTTGGTCCCTAAATTTTCGCCAAAAAATCGCCAAGTTATCATAATCCAAAGATTAACCATTTTTTGTAGTAACCTTGATTTTTGTAGTAACCTTTATCAAAAATTGGGTTTCATACCTCACACACTAGTTTACACAATAAGATCAAAAATATGGATTATTTTCATATCTTTCAATGTCAGAATTATAAGCTTCATCATACATAGTTTGTCGACACGATATATTATCAATTATTACTGTATTGTTTAAAACAGCTCAACATGAATAAAATTATTATTTTCAGGCTTCTCTTTTTAGATTATCTAAATATCTGGCCAACACCTATTTGTAAATAACACAGAAAGTGTGCGTTCAAATGTAATCAAATTTACAACAGAAAATAAAATTCAAAATTTACTTTTTTTTTTTTTTTTTTGTACAAAATTTTTATAGACCTGAATTTTGAACTAATGACATTCTGCAAATGAAATCAGTGGCAGTTTTTAAAATTTACCGAACTATATTTTTAAATCCTCTAACCTGAAGCTATTTAGATTATTTTCCCACGCAATATGTTATTCATAAATACAATAATTTCGTTATTTTCCTAAAATTAAATTCCTTTAATCATGATCAAGTAAGATCATCAGTTATTGCGCCAATAAACGGCATATTTTGAAAAAAAAAAAAAAAAAGGTAAATCAATAATCATTACTTCTCTTTCCACCCAAAAAAAATGCGCACTAAAATTTAATCCCATGAAGGCTTTTAATTACAGTAATCATAGAAGATATTAATTGCATATGAGCATTACACGAGTAAGAATGATATATTAAACATTACTTTTCATCTCAGGTCATGGATTATTTATAAGCTGACATTTTTCTTTTAAATTATAATAACGAAAAACATTATGAACGTTGATAAATTATTTTGTGTATCCCTCCTTCACTTTCAACCACAGATGATAATATCGTAGTTGAAGTTCTTTTTTTTTTCAACAATAAATCTTTTTAAACAACGCTAAGATTTTATATTTATTTGCATATATATAAAGTGTTATTTGCATTTTATATTTTAATGCATAATTAGATGTTAATGTGGATGTATTAGGAAATGATCAAAATTGTATTAAAATTAAAAAGGGGATAAATGTAAAATTAGTATGTTAAATTTGTTTATATCTCACTTGCATATATCTTATGTAACATACACTGTATAAATACTAAAGATTTAAATATAGACAGAAGAGCGAGAAACAATTTTTACTAATTTAAAAAAAAAAAAAAAACTATTCTTTTTTTTTTTTTGATAATTTTGTAAATCTAAACTTGATCATCAACCAGCGCCATCTGTTGATTAAACGTAACAGCGTTCTTGTGCATTTTTCAAATTAATTCTGATTGGTTGCTGGAATTAAAGGGACATGCTCGAAAGCAGCGTTCCAGCGTGAAGCTAAAATCAAATCAACATTGTCGTGTTTACAGGCAACAGCGGAAAGCCGGTGAAAGGTATAAAAGAAATCGGTAGTTAGATATATTGGTGGAAAGTGTGCTTTTTATGTTATTTTTCGATTAATCAGCCCGAGTTTTAAATTGTATGCAGAAAATTTAGAGGATCGCTCATTTTATAACAGTAAGAATTTCAAGTAAAGAATTAATTCATTTGGATTTAAATCTCGCTAAAAATGTAAGTATAAATTACAATCAATTCAGATTTTTAAGCTGGCTATCTGAAATAACAACTGTAAATAAATAAATAAATAAAAGTATGTTTAAGTATACAGAGCTTGTTAATTGAATGCCTTTAAATTTGCTATCTAAATCCCGAATTATACATACTTCTGTGTAATATCTTAAAACCGATCGAAATCTGATACGATATGTTATTTGAGTGTAACTTAATGAATTAATAATTTTTGCTCACAGTAAGGAAATAAATTCTATTTCCCTGTCACTTTTGAAATAAATGTCTGTTTATAGAACCTAGTAGGTGTTTAATAATATTTTATTTCTTATATAATATTCTTGTATAATTTCTTGTATGAATTGCTTTTTCTCCAACAGAAATTCAGCCTTTAAGTAGTTAGCCATAATCTGCATAAATGTTATATATAGATTTTGATTTAATTGGATTCTAGAAAATAACTTCTCAGTTTGTGAAATTTTCAGTTTTGATGTAATCTTAATCTCTCAAAATTCCAGTTTCAAAGATTTTTTTTTTTTTTTTTTTTTTTTTTTTAAATCTTTCTATGTAGACAGTCATAGCATAGAACTCAGAGTATGGATATATAATATTTGTGCTCTCTTAACTTAGTATAACAAAATTCGATATTTGACTGAAAAAAAAAATGGACAGATTTCTATTAGAGTCTCGTTTTTTTATCTAAAAATTAACTTTTTTTAAATCCCTTCTTTAACAAAATGATCATTTAATAGTTTATTTATTTACTAATTGTATTTTTTTATTTAAAGAACTTGCTTTCTTCTATATGCAAAATCACATTTTTTTAAAAGTTTTATTAATTACAATATATAATTTTGAGATATATATTTTATACATAATTCTGCATATATATATAGTAAGCATTTTTTTTTTTTTTTTTTTTTTTTTTTTTTTTTTTTTTTTTTTTTTTTTTTTTTTTTTAGTATTACTATACGTAATCAGACTTTACAACTGACTAACTTATAGTTAATAGTGATGTGTTTGAAACCAGTAATCATGTCATATCTATTGTTTCATATCAAATGAATATTTAATACATACATTTAAATAAAGCATCAATTTTCTATTTAGTTTCTTGATCTGAATTAAAAGCATGTTTATTGCTATCATTTCCTGTAATTTTTAATATAATAAACTGTACTTTTTTTCTAAATATTGAATTTTTGCTTTTATATAATGCCCACTTATAATAGTTTTGTAGCTGTTATATAACTCATTGCATATTTTGAAAATTTTGAATTTTCATTAAACTAATTTTTAAAATTAAAATTTAATCATTCTTATAAAATTTTATATTTTCTGATAAATTAATTATCAGTTGGATATTATGCATTTTCAAGGTAATTTTAACTTTTTTTAAAACTTGAAATTAGGAAAAATGATTATTGCTAATTATTATTATTAAATAATATAGTTGTTTTCTTATAAGAATATGAATGTTAATTTGTGTAATAGACACTTTATTAAAACTTTTGACACCTTATTAAAAACGTTCGCATGAAAACGTATGGCATAAACTATAAAAATTATGCTAATATAATAAATTTGGTTCATTATAATTGATTGTATTCAGAATAATTCATTTGACTGCATTTTATCCACAGTGTATCAAAATTGCCCTCATTAAATGATACACAGTCTAGAGTAAATAAAGATTAATAATATTAATTGTCAGTAGTTGCAATCAGTACTTATCAGTACTTATCAGTACTGGTATTAGCGCAACCAACTTGGTGCAGTTTCACGATGTTTTATATAGAAAACTGGTTTGGTTTATTTAAGTACGGCAAAGCATACGAGGGCTATATGAGGAGAGGGATGCTTTCGTGGGTAGGGGGATTTTCTGAGGGAAATTGGCTCATGTCTACGTTGCAGATGGGGAAAACTACGAAAACATCCATGCAGCCAGCCCGATCACCGGAATTCAAGCCCGGGGCCAAACTACCAGTGTTTAGCGAGTTGACAGCTCGGCCGCTGGTGGGGCCTTTTACAGAATACAAAGAATGATCACTTATAATGGTAAAAATATTTATTACATACATGTGCAATATTACGTACATATTTTAGGCTTTAATTAGGTTTCTAACTGGAAAATCAATCATCACTTTAAGAATAGATTTATTACAATTGTTCCTTTTAGTGATTTTATAGGAACTGTATTCCTATCAGCATTTTATTGTCGCATTGTAGGCAAATAATACAAGTACATATTTTAAAACTGAATTTAAGTTAAAGAAATAATCACGATTTTTCTATAAAAATCATTGGAGCTTTGAATACAGAAAACAGAACATATACGAAAATGGCGACATTTGCTTGATGAAAACTAAAGAATTGTTATGTGTGTGGTTGCTACAGTTTCGTACATTCTAAAAATTTTGCCGATAGTGGTTGCGTTAATATGTAAATAAGCTAAGCTTCTTAAATTCGAATCACAGCTGAAGATAAGACGTTGATAGTTCCAGGCATGCGAGTATTAAGAAATCCATTTAGCTATCTGATCTATTCTCTCATGTTATGTATAAAACTGTACAATTTTCCTTTTTAAGAAACTGAATATTTTAATTATTTCTTTAATATTACAGGAACATGGAATAGCTATTTTTCTAGCTTTAAGTATTAGGATTCTTCAGTTCAAAAGTGAAAAATGCCATCTAAATTAGAACAGCTTCAGCTGCAATTTCGGCAGCGATTGATGCAAGAAAAGGAAGAGCGAATGATCAAAATCCATACTGATAACCAACAGAAAGCTTTAACTAAAGTGTCAAAATATAATGGGGCTGTCAATGGACAAAGTGCTATATCAGTTCCTAAACTACAAACAACTATTACACCTCCTCAAACTCATCATTCTCCAATAAAGAAAGGTAGCCCAGGAGTTGATCGATCCCGCCCTCTTCCGCCCATTTCAAATGACCAACGAGCTAATTCCAGTAATCGTGTAAGTCCACTTAGTGCACCACATGAAAATACCGCAAAACCTGTAGCTACAAACTCTCGGTCAAAATCTGTAGATTTAGAATCAAGACAAAGTCCACCTAGGAGTTTTCAGAATTCTCGAGTACAGCCACGGAATGGATATAGCAAGCAATCAGAAGCCGAATTCAAACAATCTTCTCAACAGTTAGAGCCTGAGAAGAAGCCAGATCCAGATTTATTGACTAGACTGAAACAGGCTGAACTCCAGCGTTTGAAAGCAAATGCCAAGGTTAGTTTAATCTTCTTGAAATTATAATTTTAAAATTCTTCATGTAAATATTTTGACATAATTTATGACTCTGAAATTAGTAATGATAAAACCTATAGAAATGGCAAGTTCAGATTAGCAATGAATTTGAAAAGGCTGTTTTTATGAAATTTATTTTGACAGCTGTCAAAAAGAAATTAAAAACCAAGACATCGTAGCTGTTAATTACTTTTCCAGTTATTACGTATTAACTATTGCTATTTATGTATTAACTATTTATGAAGTTATGGTATTAGTGAATATATTTTTTAGTCATTGATTAATTTTTCTTGACAGTTCTTTTTCTGAGTTTGTAACGAATTTCAGAAATTCAATGCATATTTCTTTTATATTTGTTTATGAACTTTTATACTGCTAATTAAGATGTATTCAGTGTATGAAAATATCAGAAGTTTCCTAAAAACTGTGCCAGCTTCTTAAAAACTTTAAAGAGCTAAAATTAATTGGGTTACTATTTATAATTAACAATAACATATAAATTAACTGGAAAATAATTTTTCTGAGATTCTAAAGTGAACTTGTTCTGTGTGGTTCCTTGTGATGTGAAATATGATTTTATGTTAAGCATATTATCTAATATAATAATTAATTTGATAATTCACTAATCAAAGCTTTATATTTTTAACTTTCTTAAATGTAAATTGCACATTTGTTTAGGAGATCTAGGGGAATTTAAAAGGAAATTATTTAATCCGTTAAAAAAGTAACTGTGAAAGGTTAAAATCAATTGTGTTGTGAGTTATTTCACTTGTCTGATAGTAGCATCAGAACAGGCCCACGAAATTCATCGTGGTATGGAGAACAAAACTGCGCTTGTCGTTGGCAAGAGCCTTGAGCATCATACAGATGACAGTACGACTTTGCTTGGTTGATTCCTTTCCCCCTTCCAATTTTGATGGAGAGCTCCTCGGGGGGGGGGACGGGTCCGAGGTCTTCCCACCCCTCTTCCCCTACCACCAACCTCTCAAGAGGACTTTCGGTGCGCCCATGCCGCCTGGACACTATACATTTACAAAAATCCATGCCTTCTCCGGGATTCGAACCCGAGCCCTTCGGTACCGCAGTAGGCTGCCAATTACAGTTATACAGGTTCCGGAACAAAATGTCGCCAAGTTTGGCGACTTTTGGAGATTTCTCGGTAAATTTTATGACAAAAATTAGTCGCCCAAACCATCTCCAGCTTGGCGATATCTGGCGGATTTAGCGTGATATCCATTTACCACAATTTTAAATAGACCTGTACTTGTAACCTTACTTTTCCGTCAGAGCTTTACTTTCTTCAGACTCTTCATGTTACGTTATACAAATATTACATTTTCACTTATGATTTCATTAAAATTATTTACATATGGATAAAATTCGTAACAGTATTTATTGACTTGCAAAAAATTTTTTGGCTTATCATGTGGAACAAAATTATAAATCCTTAGAGAATGTTATACATTACTAAATCATTGATAGACATTTAAGGGAAACAACCGAAGTTCGAATTATTTTAATTCATTTATTACCCGACACTTTAAAGCAAGTTGAAAATGGTGTCAAAAATTGAAAATTTTGAAATTAAATGTCCCGGATCAATTTTTATTACACGGGAATCAATTCTTCATGTATTTCATGTCCGCAATTATCCTCTACATCAGGATCTTGAATACTGGAGTCTTCCACAGTGCTTGTCGGCTTCAGGGGATGTTTGAAGCTCCTGCGTTACTCGAAACATTTATTTCCTCATAGCCATAAACTTGTCGATGGATGCACAATTATCTCTGTTGCCGATTTGTCCAATTCAGCGCAAATTTTTTTGCTGGTTTTTTGTTCTACTTTTCTGTCCATGATGTAATCAGAGACTATTACACTGTAGTACTTCTGTGATCACAGAAACATGACTGTCACAACTATCGATATTAACAGAGGCATGTCGCTCGGGATATTTACTTATCGAGAATGATGGTCACTGTAATTGCGAGCGCAACTTCGTAGAGCTATTTATTAGCACGCTACAGAAAGCTAGTCTGGAAACTTTTTAATTTTCCCTTTGTGTCTTATGTAAACAGCTCCCGTTTTGAAAAAGGAAAAGTAATCATTTTTATTAATCATTATATAATATTTGTTGTTTGATCATCAGTTTGCCTTCGATGATTTCAGTGGATTTGCCAACGAAATGTTTTCTAAAGACATTATCAGTCATTTTATAAATATTTATACCACCATTAAGAATAACAGCAGACATTTCTAACGCTGAGCTTGTGCATCTTGGCAGTACAGAATTTGCTCTAAGTCTCATGCTCATGCATCTGTACTGTCATTACTAAATATGAATAATAAACATATATATTTAGTACTGATATACTGGGATTATAATAAGCATTAAAAGAAATTATTTTAACATCAAAACAATAGTATAATTTATAATTTTATTTTTCAGAATGAAATGTTTTTCTGCCTGCTGGTCTGTCGAAAAGGTTTAAATTAATCTTATTCCGTATCTTTATCTTGCCAATTTAGTCAATGTTTTCAAAAGTCTTGTCGACATTGAACTTGATTTATTCGAAACAGCACTGGCATTCGATTGACTATTCTGTAGTCCATTTCTTTGAAAACCGAGAAACAGGTTTTAGTAATGTGAATGCCCTTTCAAAAAATGAGCAATGAACGCGTGCGAGATACCTACACCCACAATTTGGCGGCGTTGTTCCGGATCATGCTCGTTGGCCTTTCTTGGAGCTGGTAAACTTTTCATTAGATTCGCTTTCCCCGACCGCTTGTTATCTTACGAAAATAAAATCTGGGGAGTTTGTTCAAGTTGATAAGCCATCTGTGCCTACTTTTCCTTTCCGCATTCACAGCATATTGGAAGATTTTTTTCAAATAAACCCAAAATTAAAAGAAATCTAATTAAATCGTCAACTACAAACATTCGATTGGGATCTAATGACTTTAGCTGAACAGCAGAAGTACTAAGTTGTCGACGCATGACATCTTCATGATAAGAAAAAAATAATTGTGCTTCTTATTAGTTAAAGAAGAAATTAACATATATGTTCAGAGCACAATGCATGATATGCACATTTTGTACTTGAACCGAGACACTACGACTAAAATAAATATTAAATATCTAAGCTTTAGATATAAATTGTAAAATTAAAAACGGATCGAAGCATATATTTTTCTTTGGTTTACTGCTAAATATGAGTCGAAATCACATCGAGATTTCTAAAAATATATTCTTTTAGAATGTTACTAGAAAACTTCATTAATTAGAAATATTATAATTCCTGCTTTCCTTATCGTTGAAAGGTATAAATCCTTTAAAAGCTAGTTAAACTCTATTGCAATAACTGAAGATGTTTAGGAATGAAGAAGACGAATGAGCATAAGAAGAATGAAGCTGTTTTGGAGAGGAAACTATTATTGCTCAGCTGAAGTTTGCTTTCTAAAAACAATTAGAAAAAATAAAAGTAAATTTATTCTTTTGGATTCATCCATCAGACTGATGTAGTTTGTCTGCTGAAGATTGTTCATGGGAGATTCCAACAGTTCTATCGATCTTTTTTTAAAGTAAATAGAAACGGTTGACCTGAACGTGATGTAATACATTTGGCCTCATTTGTCCATTAAACTCACAGATATCATGCATCTATGGGTCACTGAAATGTTTTCCCTTCATTTTTTGACGTCAAACTGTCTTTTCGCTCGATAATATTTATTCGATGAAAGTCTGTTGTGAATAACAATGAATATAATGCGCGCTTTGAAAAGTTTTTGTCATCTTAGAAGTAAATTTTTTGAAAAATTATTCCTTATGTTCCATAAGGTGTTTTATAAATTTTAATATAACAAACTGTAAATTCTTAAATTTGAATTTTAATAGAGTCGCTTTAGTGTGATCATGAATTTTTAGATTATAGGAAAACATTCGAAGGCTACCTGCCTAGGAGGAGAGAATTCTTTGTGGAGAAAGGAAAACTGGCTCGGACTCAAATTACTCACATGGAAGAACAAGGTTATTATAATACAAATTTACTTCTGTGTGACGTCACAGGCTTCTTGTGAAACAACTACTCCCTTTATGGTTACTTTCTCCCACTTCCCTAAGAAGACCACCTCTGGCGAAGCAGTAAAGTTGCTGAACACTGGTAGTTCGGTCCGAGGTTTCCAATCCCGCTAACAGACTGGCTGTATGGGTGTTTTTCTGGTTTTCCGCATGTGTAACGTGTATACGAATCAGTTTTCCTTAGAAAATCTTCCACGAAGGCATCCCTTCCCTTAAACAGATAGTCCTCGAGTGCTTTGCCGTAATCAAATACAAACACCCAATTCTGCAAGTCAACGTTGTGCAGAGCCTAATCTTATTGATGTTGGGGAAAGCTACGCAAACTCCCAAGCAGCCAAAAATTTGGCCGGGATTTGAATCCACGTCGAACTACTAGTGTTCAGTGGTTTTACCACTCGGCCGCTTCTAAGCTGAAGGAAAGTCATGCAGAATTGTTATGCTGAATGCATGGAATCTAGAATCGGGATGAGGGATTTAAACTTCAGAATCTGGGTTTGGATTTTCGATAAGGATTATTGTGCTATGATGTATTTTTACCCTAACTCTAATGATTAGAAGTATTTGAATACGAAAATTAAACCACTAGTTGTAAAGCTACTAGTTTAAAAAACAATAAGAAAATATCTGAAATTTGAAAATATGTTTCATAATCGCTGGAAAGGCTTCTTGATTTTCTAGATCTCCAAAGCGTCCTCCTCAGTCCGCGAAAATAATCGTGGAAATTCGCGCTGCTATGAAATTTCTATCTTGATGATAATTAAATTGATTGAATTCAGGTTTCATTTAAATATAATAAACGTTTATGGAATTTCCCCTCCTTTTTCATATTTTTTTCTTTTTCTCCTTTCCTTTTTAGTCTAAAGGGGCTTTGTCCCTGAAGGACTATTGTTTTCGTTTTGCGATTTTG